AAAAACAGCAGTTTTGAATATGGATACTTTGAAGTGATTTGTGAACACAACTATTAATGCAAATCACTCTCCCTCCTATCTTTAGATCACAGATGGTAATCACCTAATTTATTCAGTTGGATATTTGTGCTGTTGTTTCTTTCTGAACCACATTACTTCCCCATCAGTAAACAAAGTTACAGAAACCCTGAGGAGTCAGGTAAACAAAAATTGAAAGTGTGTTCCTGAGTTAAAGTTGCAGTCATGTAACACACCAAAAACAGCTGATAAATATTTCCAGCATCAATTGTACAATATCAGTTTTTTTCTACTGTTCTGCCAGATGGGTAATATATGAATAAAAAGTTTTGGCCTCTGACCACAAGGTTCCTTTATGGGCGCTGCCCCCAACACGAGCCAAAAAGTGGAAATAACCACATTGAAATACATAACTTATTTTTCTAGTTTTAGCATTCCGTGTGTGTAGGGCTGCTACTGTTATGGCTTACGGTTATTGTTATGGTTTGGCCTGAAAGAAAATAATAACAAACCAAACAGACCACAATTCAACTAGACATACAAATCTTACTCTGCTGTTTAATCTCTTTTCAGGCACTAGCATTAGGGGCCTCCAAAGACACTTCTACCATTATCCATCAGTGGCAATGACAACTGTTTGGAGCATTTAAACTTTGTTTATGATGTGTGCACTTATGAGAGAAACAGAAAGCGAAAGTTGTCTGTCCAGGACATTCCTGAACACAAAATGTCCTGGAAACCAAGCATTTTAATGTTTGCTTATGAAGTTTAAACGGCTTCTTTGTACCCTATCAAACCATTTGTATACAAAAAAGTTCATTGGTTCAGATTACCTTTAATACAAAGACAGTTTAATAAAGACATAATAGGTGCTTGGCCACTCTGCCAGATTTGGTCCTGTTGCTGAAAACTGAAACTGACCTGTGGCAAAGTGGCATCCTATGACAGTGCCACGTTTAAAGTCACTCAGTTCTTCAGTACAACTCATTCTTCTGCTATTGTTTGTCTATGGAGACTGCATGATTTTATATACCTGTTAGCAATGGGTGCAGTTCACATATTTGAACTGAACTAATTAGGAAGGATGTCCACACACGTTTGTTCACATAGTGTATAATAGATACTAGGGGTGGGAATCTTTAGGCACCTCACGATTCGACTCGATTACGATTCAGAGGGCTGCGATGCGACTATAAAACGATTATCGATGCATCTTTTTTCTTTACACAGGATTTCTATCTTCCTACTGTCTGAGGACTTGGTAGTTTTAAAGCAAAGTATTTGTAATGATCCATAATGTAAATGCATTTACGTTATGCATTATGGGGGGGCGGGTATTTTCGAGACTGGACGCTGAATCTCGGCTCCAAAGTGTGCAGCATAGCACGAAAGCCCTGGTTCTCAACGACTGAGAACAGACAGCAGACAGCAGGTCACATAGCCCCGAGGTCTGGCCTCGCTAGCAGCGAACGAAGAAACAGAGATCAAGACGAACATTTGGAGGACTTATTCGCATTTATAAGCAGCGCGGTTGGTTAAATCTGCAACGAGAGACGGTCTTTCTCTAAAAAGTTGCGAAAATGAACTCGCGTCTCTTTCGAATTTTCCCGTTCCACCTTAAATGGTGCAGCAGTTACATTCGGCGCCTAAGGCAGAATTTAAGGTGGAACGGGAAAATTAGAACGAGAAGCTGGCGAATGAGAAGCGACTTCAGCCTCGTAAAACAGCCGGACGCTGAGACATTTTACAAGAAACTCTTCTGGTTTTGAGGAAAGGTTTTCTGGCGGAGATGGGAGGAAAGCGGCTATAGCTGAAGCTTAAAGCAGAGCAAAGTAAATCTGCGCTCTCATTCATATTTTTAGTCCATACTGGACATTAAATGTTGTGGCTCCTAAAGTGGTTTGACTTTGTTGAAAGGTCAAAGTGTCTCTTCTTAACATTTGGGTTGTGACTCCTGACCTAACCTGGCTTTAACGCAGAGGGAGCCGATTGGATTTCTCGCTCCTTGTGTTTTTGTTATGTGCCGCCACAGACTGTCCGGGCGCTGCACTTCCGCACTTCCAGTTCCGCCCTTTGCGTTCCGTCAACATTACGTTGTAAATTAAATATTTATTGATTTTTGACATTTATGAACCGATTCAGAATCGTTCACATCCGCACCGCGATGCATCTAAGAATCGAGTTTTTCCTGCACCTCTAATAGATACACTGTTTGTTTTCTGCAAAAAAGTAAAAAAGCTAAAAACCTTAGATTTTTATTAAGAAGGTTATGGTTGTGTTAAGTGTAGAAAGCAGTATTTAGCTATAGTAGTACAGACATGAACAGAAATACCCTACAATACTGATGACGATACACAGATCCCTTTGCTCTTTTATATGTACTTTACAAGATTAGCCCACTTGTGTTTGTTACTCTTTCCAGTGCAGAGCCGAATGGTTCTGAGCATGGATGGTAACTGTTCCACATTTTCCACATGGACAGGGTTCGACACTGAACACTTAAAAACCAGGCTATGCCCATTTTTTCAGCAGTACTTTTTTTTCAGCTAACCGTACTCAGTGCCACAGAACCGTTCGGTGGGATGACATAACGATGTAACTATCTGTTGATTGGTTCTACCTTTATGTCGGTATTGCACTACCACATCCTGCTTCACTATTTCAAAATTATAAACAGTCAAGTAAGTTCAGTACGCTCACACGGACAGCAAATAAATGAAAGCAGTGCACAATTTTAAACCCACTATACAATAAATGTCAAAGCTTCCATTTAACAGCAACTAAATGTTAAACAGTGCTGCTAACCAGGAGAGAGTAGCTGGTGAGCGTTAGCTTTGCTATCATGCTGCCAGCTCTGCTCACCACAGAACAAGTTTGATTCTGAATAACAGAAGCTTTACTGACACACATTCAAATAATAATGACTCAGCTCAGAGGAAACAAAGTCAAGTGGCTGAATTTAGAGGGACAAAAAGCGGAAATTAAACCTCTTCTCTGGTGGCTGGACCTGGAGCCTCCTAGCTAAGCTAAGGTTAGCCAGCTCCTCTTACCTAGCTAGTTAAATTAGCACAGCTGAAGAGATCCAAACACACCACTGCAGCTTCCATTCAACTAACTGGTGCTCTGCTATCACAAATAGACTATAAAAACCTATAACAGCGAGAATAAAGCAGACTGATTGACGGTGGAGTGACAGACAGATGAAATTGAAAGCTAGTACAGTTATCTGTCTACAGGTGAAACTCACCGCAGTACAGGCTGTTACAGCAAAAGATGCTCAAATAGAGGATAAAGAAGATGACAGCATGCTGAGTGGCTGTTTGGAATCAAATGTTTTTTTGTGGTTTGTGCTCGGTGTGTAGCTATTAGCTTGTTAGCAGTTAGCCACTCATCTGTGTAGTTTTCTCTTAAGTATGTCTTGGTTCTGATTTAGCGGTACAACAGATAGAATAAGAAACTGTAACTGGCTTCATTAGTCCTGACCAGCACAGCACGGCCCAGTATGGCCCTGAGAACCATTTGTCTCAAAGATGAAAAAGAGGCAAAGAGGAAAGGGTGTGTGAGGCTGGAACAACAGCTTATCCTCCACACATATACGTTTGTGTGCAAGGTACAGAGTACATACTGCAAACATGGTGCTGGTGCACTGTTGGCTTAATATTCAATACAGGACTTTACAGGGAAAAGACTGAACTCTGTCTCTTTTTATGTTTTGGAACGCATTAACAATTAAGATAACTTGGTAGCAAACATAATATAATACATATAATAATAATATAATATAATATAATAATATAATACATTATAATATTTAAAGGTAACATTACAGGGGATGTTTGGACATCAAATCTCACGTGATCCATGACATTTACATTTAACATAAACAAAGTAGTTAGAAAACAGGACGTGTTCCCTATTTTCTAACACATAAAATGGCCTTACTTCATGCATGAGTCACACTGTACCACGACTATGAACCTAGGAAAACAGCAAATGATCAACATTGCAACTTGTTAAACGGGTTGACTCAGCGGTTTAGGGTATTTTCACTGTATTCCATTTACTCGCTACACCTGAGGCCTTTAGGAACAGTGAACACGCCTCACACTCCATTAAGGTGTGTAGGGGGTATAAAGTAGTCTCACACAGACTTACTCATGTGGACTTTGTCATAGTTTCAGCCACTGTAGAACATACTGTTCTAAAAGAAATGTAATGTAAAAACATGATGTTGGCACATTGCTAATTGGTAGGATATAAGTGTCCACTGCTTGTTAGCTACATTAGCCTTGTAGTTTAAGTAAGTTATTACTACAAAACTAATGTGTACATCATGTAGATTTGATATTGAGAAATTAAAAATGTTATTCTGTTATTATTATTATAAAGAGGTCAAGTTGATTCTGGCCCCTGGCAACCATATGGATAGTGTTTGTCCAGAATACTCTGTGCTCTGTTTGGGTCTTCAGGCTTCTCAATGTGTTATAAAAAAAAATGGAAGAAAAAACAGAAGCAGAGAATGATCCTAATTCTGCTAAATTAAGCTAGTTACTGGAAACAATTCTTCACATTTATGAACACATTTACTTCAAACTTCATTTGCAAACCTCTGCCTGCATCTCAGAGCAAGACAGAAGAACTCCAAAGAGTTCTCAACTTCCAAGCAAGGACTTAAGTGTTACAACCCATTTGCAATGGATGAAGAATCAAGGTTTTTCAAGCCCGGGCGACTTGCAAATGACCAGAACATGAGCCATCATTAAAGTGGATGAAAGGCAAACACTAGCGCTTCTCCTTGTATGTTCTGATACAAAGAGGGCTATACTCTGAATAATCATCAACATTTTCTGCACTGTGCATTTATTCCAAACCAAATTAGGTAACCAGCAGTTATCTAAAGTGTGTCCTTATGTAGGAACGTGTAGCTTGTCTATCCATACACATTACTTTCACTTCTGTCACCGTTCATTTAAAACCACCCTCATGAGGTGTGCACATTTATTTCTGCCACCGCACCACAGCCAGCTGACTGCCAAGCACAACTAGGACCTGAAAAAAAGAATCTAGGGTAAGTTTTCACCTGAAAAGAATTTAAGGGGGAAATATAATAGAATATAAAAAAGGGCTTGGAAAATCTATAGTATGTTATAGTAATTTATAGTACCTTTTTCTGGAAAAAAATAGAACGACTATCAGTCTTGGAAATTTTTTACACTATTTATCTCAGCAGTAAGTGTATTGCTGCATTATTAAAACTGTGTAGCATTAGAATAGATACAAAGAAACAAATACTGTAAAACGTAAGAAGATTTGAAAAAATTACAGATATTGGTAAAAATTTGAAAAATACATTAGATAAACTATTGGATGGTAACTGTAAATACTGGCCTTCCTTAGGGAATGCTTTGGAAATGGATAACATCAAATCACACTGGATTTTTAATTTGTTTAGTTGTATTTATACTAATTTTAGTACTTTTTTCAAACAAATAAATGGCTACTGCACTGATATATAACTTTACATATTCATTTTTTCAGATGCCCAAAAAAGATGTTTGTACTATATGCACATTAAATGATTAAATGTCAGTATGTCAGTAAGTCGTTATGTTAGTAGAACGATTGACTACTCTTTATATCTAATTTCAAATGAAAAAAGAGGTATGATTTGCATGTGTACTTTGTCAACAGTGTGGTTGCCCAGTCCTGCTAATTAACATGACTGGGCAAGCCTATTTTTCAACTGCAAAGCATTTGTCCCTCAAGTGTTTATGACACCAGATGAAAGTGGTTATAGGTCAGAATATATTTTAAGTGTTAACTGCTATTTTTTGTGAATGATCACTTTGTAAATTCATCAGCCAATGTAACATAAACTAGTTTGATTCAGCATCACATGACTGTATACAACAACAATAACAACAATAAAAATTATGACAAGTTTTCAGACAAAAAATGATTATCTAGACGGGCTAAAATTAACCTACCTGATTTGTGAAATATTTTACTCTATATAACTCTATTTTTGTCTGTCAGTCATTTATTAATATGTTTTGCACCATGATGCTGAAAAGTGAGGTTCTAACTTTGGAATACTATTTTAGAAATATATACATTAACAATCTGCTTACAACACATGAGTCTTCATAGATTTTCGTGGTATTTGTGTCAGAAATAACCTTTCAAAAATAATATATATTATGTATATATAATGTATTACAACAGCATTGCTCCGTATTAAGAGTGTCCTGGTGCTAAACTGGCCTGCCTGAATTCAGACCAAATGAAACATTTGACACATTATGAAATGCAGAAAATGACTAAAGAGACCCTGAACTGTTGAGCAGCTTAAATCCTATTTCAAACCAGAATGAGAAAACATTTCACTTTCAAAACTACAGTTATTGGTCTCCTCAGTTCCCAAACACTTAGTGTTGTTAAAAGAAGAGGTGATGCAGCACAGTGGTAAACATGCCCCCATCCCAACTTTTTTGGAATGTGTTGTTGGCATCAAAAATTGTTACCGTAAGAACCATGATGTGTTTCAATGAATGCATTTCTGCTTTCTTTCATCTATTAATTTATCTTTTCATTTATTAGCCTTGGGAGGGTATGAGGGCAATATTTAGTGGTGTACAGCGCTGCCTGCTGTGTGACTCAGGCAATGCTTGTGCATTCATGTTTCAACAACAGAATCAGTAAGTCAGTCAGTGAATCAGTGAGAGACATTGACTCCTGCAGGCTAGCCTTCTGGGCCAGCAAAAACAAAGAACTGGGCTCCTGCATTAAGTTTGATGTAATACTATTAGGCCTTACTTCGAAATTAGCCCTAGAACCTCAGTCACCAACTTCTATGAGGGAAGTAGCAACTTCTATCAGAGCAAATTCAGTAGTTCAATGAACATGAACACTTTAAGGGCAAATGATAATGTGGTTATTTATGCTATTTAGTCTGCTCTTTTCATTTAATAAAATAATTTCTGAATGCTGTTGTTGCATTTATAGGTACTACAAGTGCTTACCAATCCAGATAGCACTGAATAAGCAATCCAACAATAAAAGAAGCCTTGTGCATCTTTTATACAGTGAAAGAAAAGCTCACAGAAAGCTCTAATTTCTACATGCTAGTCCATTTTACTCCGTCCAGTGTAAACATGCATGTGCTGTAACTCTTTTGATGGCAGTTTTATACGCATTTAAGAAGTCATCACCAAATTCACAGAATGGATTGCCAACAAGACTCTTGATTCAATTAATTACTCTACATGATTATATTTATAATTATTTGTGAATAATATTTGGCCTTCAGGTATTTTGACATGGTATGATCGGGCCCTCTTTGAAGAAAGTTTGGACACCACTGTCCTTCTGTCATTTATTACATAAGTAAACAGATGGTTGTGGTATATGCAAATTAATTATAAACATGATGGATGTTAATATAACTAAACCACAGTGAAAATGATAATATTATACATTATGGGCCTAATTTGCTGACACTGTCATAGGCCATGTAATTTAGTCTATGGCTATATTTAAGTTGTGTTCAGAGAATGGCCTTGAAATGAATTAAAAACCAATATAAAATTCCTTTGTGGTCTCAGGAAAAAATTAATGTAGGACATTGCTTGGGTTTAGTCAATACTTTCAATTGCACAGTCAAATATGTTACAATATTTATATATTATAGTATATATTAGTATATCGCTGCTGTCAGAACAAAAGTGCGTATTTCCAAAATGGTAACCCTACATTAGAGGGACAAAACATGCTTTACTTTTAATGTAAGTCAATGTGACCAGACTTTTTTCCAAGTCATTTTGAGTCATTTCTTTTTGATCAATTATCTTGAAATTTACACACAATGTCAAGGGCCAAAGACATTTTCAAATTCTGTCAAAAACTGAAAAATGACAAAAGTGGAGATACGAGGTTTTGTTCCAACAGCAGCGATATACTATGCCATATAATGAACAGAAATCATGTCATCACTAATAATTATGATTGCAAATTGTGTATTTGCAGAGGTTCCACCATCAAAAATGACCTCGCAAGAAAGAGAACTCCGTTTTGTTACCTGGAACACTCGGGGTATTAAGGACACAAGCAAATTATGCCAGAAGTATTTACAGTGGTTGTGCACACTCAAAAAACTTGAAGCTGATATTGCCTTTATACAAGAGACACATATTGGGCCAAAGGGTTACAAGATGTTGGAGATGGTTAAAAAGTCTGGCTGGAAAGTCTACTTCACCGTGTACAAACCTCGAAGCAAAGGAGTTGCAATACTAATAAGAAATGATGTACCATTTGAGTACATATGCCATGATGAAGATCACAGTGGAAGTTACATTGTGCTCTTCTGCCATCTATATGGTGAACTCTACACTCTTGTCAATGTGTACAATCATATAAAAGACAGAAAAGTCTTGTATACATTGAAAGAGTACTTACAGGAAACAGCTGAAGGGGTGCTGGTGGTTGGAGGGGACTTCAACATAGTTTTGGATTCAGACTTGGATCGAAGATCTTCTGCTGTGTGTACAGGGTCTTCAGCACTAAGAATCATTTTAGAGAACTTCATTGCATCTCTAAATCTCAGAGATGTTTGGGCACACTTACACTCCACAGACAGTGGCTTCACACGAAGTGAGAAAGACAGTTATTCCAGGTTAGACATGTTTTTCATGCCAGGGAACACTGTGGGACGAGTGAGTAGTTGTGAGATCTATAAAACAACAAGCCACAGAGTTGACCAAAAGAAAATCTCTGATCATGAACCTCTTGTCTTAACACTCATAGTTCAGCAGCAGCCTGTAAAAAAAATTCCAGATGTCGCCTCAATGGTGGTGGAATTTGGATACAATGGAGAACCAGACAGGAGATCAGGGAAAATTAGTGGTGCAGAAATACTGAGTGCTATCAAGTCTTTGACTGAATCTGGAGAACAAAGGCCAGATAATTTGACAGTGGAGCACTACAAAAAATTTCGCTGTCCAATGACAGAGGTCTTAAAGATAAACTACAACCTGATGATAAAAAACAAATGGATACCTCCAATCTTCAAAAAATCTCATCAATCAAGAAATGGACACATCTTCAATGTTGACTACTTGATATTCTCCTTAATTTTGGCCCAGCGCCTTAAGGTGTTCATTACCCCTTCCTTCAGGAATCGGAAGAAAGCAAAGCGTGATCTCAGTTTTAAGATTACCTTTGCAAATGTACCACAGAAAATCAAGTGTTCCTTCCTAACGAGTAGCCTTGAGAATCTTAAACCTATACATCCTGCCCCCCCACAAGACTTTAGCATTCTGCAGAGTCTTCTTCGTGAAAGCAGGCGGTCTTCAGGTAAATTCAGACGTTTGCGACAAAGTTGTCCTCTCACCAACCCCATTCTCACTCTGGCACTTAACCAGCTGAAAGATCAGATTCTCAGACCTGACAGCACAGCCAGCATTAGCCATTATAGACATGTCCTGCTTATATGGACAGAAACAAACAGAATTGGGACAGTTGTGAGGCTGGTGAAGCAATTCAAGGAAGTTTCTGGGATTAGACTAAAAATGTCATTGAACAATGATATCTGTCCATAAGACTCAGATGCCTATTTACATTTATATTTATTATTTATAATATACCTATTTAAATCTGTGCACAGATTGGTGCAACTGTAGTATAATGTAATGCAATAAATCTATGCAATAGTAGTACACTGTAATGCCATTACCCTTACTTGTGTAAATATTTGAAAACTGTAACATCATTCAGTAGCAGACAATCAATTGTAATATAAAAAGAAAGCAAATTCTGTATAATAATTTTATGAATTTTACTATTCACTTTTTTATTGTATGTGTTTTTGGTGTATTGCAAAAAACCTTGTATCCCCATTTTTGTCTTTTTTTTTGCATTTGAGAACTCCAGCTACTCTTTATATTTGGAACAGACCAAACTTCCATTATGAACAGACCAATAGACGTATTCATAAATTACCTAGAAGAAAATGTTGTTACAATAATTTCCATTATAAGTTAAGAATGTTTTTTCCTTCTCCTTTAAACTTGCCATTGTATATACATGGGTATACAAACTTTTGTTCAGACAGTAATGAAGTACTCATATCTATATTCATGTACATACTCACTCTACACTGTAAAAAATGGAACAGATTAGTTGTGTTTTTTAGATTTGAATGGAAAAATAATCCTTTGTTCATTTAACCTATTTATTTTGTTTTTTATTGTTTCATTCAATGTATCAGAGCTGGAAAAAAACAGTTAAATCGCTCAATGAAAAACAATTTTTGAAGTTTGTGACAGTTAATGAGACAATAAGAATGGCACATTCATGGCATTACTCACATCTATCATAGCTCAGGGTGGGTTCCTTTGGTAGAAGGAGACAAACACTGCCCTCTACAGGACACAAGACTATAAAAAAATGCTGACAACAGACCAACAAATGTTTAGTTTGTATCTACATACTCACCATTACTGGAAACACTACAGTAAGAACTAATTACAGAGTTGATGCATGTTTGTATGTATGAGATTGCAGTAAATTGTATCAAAATAAAACAAAGAAAAACACAAATACAAATGGCACATAAAATTGCAGACTAAAATGTCACTAAGAAAATGTCAGCCCTCTGAGTAGTATTTCAAAATGTATATGAACCTCCTGAGCTTAACCCTGAAAATGGATCTCAGAAATATGATCAGAAGTGTTAGTAAATTGTGGGCTTAAACTTCATATCTACCCTAATTTCTGAAGAGAAAATATACTTGAAATAAGTTGTGAAGCATAAAAGAACAAGAAGTGTAAAAGTTTCAAGAAGCTGGGTTGATTATGTGGTAGTGTAGATCTTATTTTAACATGTGCTATAAAAACATAAAAGACAGAATTAATTTCACTGTTTATTCGGCGTAGCTCATTTCACAGTACACAAAACGATTAAGCTTGTAGCTCTTCACAGAAGATGCCAAACTCTTCACTAAAATGTGAAAAACACATTATACACAGCAAACAAATTCCTAAAAAGAAGAAGAAATACAATCCAGTACAAAACCCTTTTATCTGTAAACTGATTGTTTGAAGCTTTTAATCTGGAAAGCCCTCATTTTTTTAAAGTAAGGTAATGTCCTGGCATCCCTACTAACATGATTCAAAATAGAATTTGTGAAAAAATATTCCATACAAATGGAGGAAACATTCACATCCAATATATTTCCCAAAATAAAAATACAGAAATTACTGCATAGAAATGTGCAGTATAATTGTAGACCCAGTTCATCTACTTAACAGAAATATGTGGTTTTTAAATTATTCTTTTCATGGATGTACATTACCATTCAAAAGTTTGAAACCACTTGCCATATTAACAATTTTTGCTATTTTTTATACAATAATAACTCACATGGGGTGGATTTATATATTATAAACTATTACCCAAAAGGTATTTTCAGATGTTTGATGCAATATTTCCTGAATTTTGTAAATAAGAAGTTAGATAAATAATACCCTGTATTATCTACTTATATTTTATTGGGTTGTCCGCCTTAAAATTTGATCTCCACTTCTGAAATATGACTAATTTTGGATATTAACCTTATTATAACTTAATTCTAGATGTGCTTCAGCTTTCTCAGTCCATTTTAGAACATTCTACGGCTCCGTTCTTCATTCTGGACGCATCAATCATTTACAGCTTCCTAGTGCCCTATTAATTATTTGAAAGCTGTGAAGATTAGCTTTGAAGAACTGTTTCATACACATATTTAGTTTTCTTATGTGGAAAACACTGATTCCAAACTTTTGAATGTAATGTAAATCATTGTAGGACTTGAATATGTTAGATATTTTCTTCACCATAACATGAAGCAATAAAAAGTGGCACAAAAAATAGTTTTCTTTGATTTCATAAACTCCACACTGATTAAAAAAATATCAACCTAACCTAAAAATATTCCGTATTCAGAGAAATAAGCAGTGAGGGAGAATCATGTCTGTTAGAGGGTGCCAGTACTTATGCAAATAATTCTACAAACGTAGACAGAACAGGAAAAACCTCTAGAAAAATATTTTACATTTGTTTTCCTCAAAAAATTAGACTTAGAACTTTGAAAAAACAGCAAAGACTAACAAATCATCCGAACCTGATTAAGTGCTCAGTGAACTGTCCAATTACCTTCAGACTTGACCGACAGTGGTGAGAAGAATCGACCAATCAGGAGAGGTTTTACTGAGATGAGAACAGTGAGGCGTCTTCTGTGATTTTTTGCTGACTGGTGCGGAGGCTGAGCAGGAAGTGGTACGTTCTTCTTCTGATTTGGTCCGCGTGTAGCCTTATTCAGTCCAGAATGTTCCACCATTTTCCTGAGAGATCTTCTCAGGTGTGTTACATTCTCAATGAGAAATGCTGTACAAGCTCGCGAATACAGTTTTGCCACTTTGAGGGTAATGTGGTCTTGCTTTGGTGGCGTGGAGGAAAATAAAAAAAATAAAAAAAAAACAAGAAAAAAGAAAAACAGTTGAAATTCAGCTTACTCCTGGAAGCTGATGAATGGACAGAAAGCTTTTATTGGGCTTCTTTCTCAACAGCGCAGGTGCTGTAGGGGCGTCCACTGCTGTCCTTTCCCCTTTGGCTCAGTTCAGTAGTAACGTACAGTAAGAGAACGGAGAGAGAGAGAGAGAGAGAGAGAGAGAGAGAGAGAGAGAGATGGACGGAGTGGGGGGGGGCAGTTAAGGAATGTCTGATTTTTAAGGATGGAAGGATGAAGAGAAAGGAAACAGTAGGAACAGCTCTTTGAAGGTAGATTAGTGTCGGCCTGTTACAGACTGAGGCTCTATCGGAGCGGATAGCGGAGAGTGGGGGGGTAGCGAAGGCAGCCGGCGAACAGAGAGAGAGGAAATGGAGGGAGAGAGATTAGTGCCACTCCAAAAATGACAGAGTGAGCAGGGTGCGTGAAGAGGTGCGTGTATTAGTATGTGTACACAAAGGCATTGGATATCGGAAGAGATTCCAGATGCATGAGTTCTAATTTGTCTGGAGATTAAATACGGTCACTGTCGATTCAAAACCTTGTACCTCTTTTTGAAAAGACCACCTGCCTTTTACATTATGTGAACATTTCATGATGAGTGGACCAATAAAAATGGTCCAAATTTACATCTCAGACATTAAGGTCAATGCAGATTTTTCAAAATTTCCAGATAATTAAATTGTTTTAATGTAAACAGTCATTTAAAGTGGTTTGATGAGAAATGCTCCATTCTAGAGAGTCAGAATTGTTCACAGTGGTGGCGATGGGAACCAGATGTTGGTAGTGTTTAATGCCTCTAAAAGCTCTCTCACAGAAATGTATTAATATGGTTATGAAATGGTTATGAAAACTATTACATAAAAAGGTTACGAATACAGTTCAAGTCCACTCACAGCCGCAAACTACATGCATGGTGCTGTTAGGCAAAACAATCCCCAAAGGTAACTTTACCACTATCACATAAGATAGTGAAGATACATATAGGTTCACTGATGGTTTTGGATAGTAAATAAAATGGCTATATTTGTATTGTAGACATGACAACCCCTGGTTCCATACACCACCACTGTAACTAAATTGGTGGGTAAGCTTTTCTGCAATGTACCATGTCACATCAATCCACTCTGAATGACTTAGTGTACATCTCAACAAGTGAATTATTCAGAATTTTTTCAATAATCAGTGGATTTTTTACTAGAACAACATTGTCTTATAAAGTTACCATACAAGGTTTTGTTACGTCAGCGTTGATGTGTCGATGCTCTGTTGGTATCTGTTGGTTCTTAGCTTCATTAGGGATGAGTCTTCCAATGATCATACAAAGAGAACAAGAAACAGAGGGATAAGAGAAAGGACAGGGAGTGAACTGGATCTTCCGGGATGAGCACCACTGCGGGGAGCTGGACTTTCTGTGAAAGAATGTTATACTTGATTAGAATGTAATAATGTATATTAATAACATTATAGCTTTTATATATACATATATATATATATATATATATATATATATATATATATATATATAAAAAACATGAGCTTGTGTCTAATATGTAGCTTATGGCACCAACAGCACTCAGGTGCCATTAGGCCTCATGTGCTGATGTAGGTGAGTGAAATTTTCTGTGAAAGTTTCTGTGAAGTTTCTGTGAAATGATGATTGTAGGTGATGATTTTGATAAGCAAATCAGCTTCTCTCTAATGTTGTACTTTCTCATATTTAAGAACAATGAGATGTCTGATCTCTGTTCTCCACTAGAGGGCAGTCTAGAGCCCGGATTGGACATTTTAATCAGATCTTCTAATCTGTTTGGTTCAACCAAGAAACCGCAGAAAGCTCACTAAAGGCTACCACACACAGGACAGAAAGTGCTGCAGCGTGCATCAGAAATCCACATGGGCCAAGGGTTCTTAACCTGGGGGTGGGGATGTAGTCCCAGGGGGTCGTGAGAGTGGTGCTACAAAGACATGTACCTTGTCAAAAATAAAAAAATACATTTGATAAGCACAAATGAGCACTGCTGAATGGCTCCATCAATGAGCCATGAAAGACAGACCAATGTTGATTATGAATTTCTACTGGGTGAGATCATTACTGATGGAGTATCTTGATTGGCTGCTAAACTTGAAGCTTTTTTTAGTGTCAGGCTAAAGGGTTGTGGTTTTTGGTGAAGTGCTAACTAAGGAATGCAGGCCCAGTAAATGAGTAGGGTTACTATTTGATTAATTGTCTATAATTCTTTTAATGTGTATACTGGTGTGTGTGTGGGAGACAGAAGGGGGAGCTGGAGGGGGATAGGCTGACATACAAGGGGTTGAGAAATATTAACCTCAAAAAAGGGTCGCACTGTGAAAAAGGTTAAGAACCACTGACACAGACTACTCTACATAGCTACACGACACAGGAAGCAGCACTGAAAACCTCAATAAACAAGTTCATTTTAAAGTCTACTCATATAGATTTAATGCAGTGAAACTTTCAACATCATTTAGTGAATTCCTGACGTTTGGTATCAGTTAATCAACTGTACATTCAAATTTGGAGGAGTCAAGCTGCTCATGTCGCAAGATGTTTGCCTCTTGGTATGTTCAGGGCTGCTCTTGTTGCATGTGGAGTAAAGATTTGAGACCTTTTGAGAAAACCTCAATTTGATTTGTCCCTTGTCATCCTGTCGCTGCATTGACTGATGCTAAATCGCAGCTACAAATCGCCTTCTTTTATATAAAATGACTGGTTGCCTGTCTTTTTGTCACCTACTAATCTGAACGTACCTTGACCTAAAAGCTATTAATTTTCTCATACTGTACATTTCTATTAACCCTCTGTCTGGAATGTTCTACAAAAGCTCCTGTATCTTTAAGCCCAGTGTGCTCACTTGCCCACTCTGTTGATTGGTCAACCGCCATAGTGGTTCCGCCTCTACACGTTCCGCCCCTGCCTAGCAGACCCCTCTCTCCTGAGCAGCTTTAAACACCGGTATGGGTTTTTTGCCAACAGTGTTGGTTCTGCAGTATCAGTTCAGCGAAAGTCCGATCCTGAAAGTCAGGTCAGCGTCTTCTCGACAGGGCAACAATACTGAACAAACTCTTTTCTGCCTCTAGTAGTTGCTGTGCATTGTTTGAGGGTGTGCCAAGCTTGCGGTAGGCAGGCAATAAGGATTGTGTTACAAGATTGCATCATCTTGTAACAAATGAAAAAGAGGCGTTTCAGGCAGCTGAGAAAAGTAGCTTCTGTGGAAGACAGTTTCTCCCTCTGACATGTACTTTGTACCTTTGCAGACATTAACGTGCACAAAAAGTTATAAAGGCACCATAATTGCTATTAACTGGTTTAATCTTTTTCTTAATTTATTACTGTAATAGAGAGGTGCTGAGGTCAGGGCCACTGAGCATTGCTGGAAGTTGGAGGTTTCATTAAAAACAATGGTTTGAAAATTTCAAACCTGCCGTCAGCTTGACGTGCCCAGTGTGTGGTAGCCTGAAGAGTCCTGTGTGTGTTGGTATAATGCCTTACAAATTCAAATATCAAATCTGACTGAAATGCCAATCCCTACTTATTTAGGGGTTTTATTTTGTCCAAAATGTGTGAGAACCACTGTTATACCATAAAAAAGGAATACAGAATATTTAGACTTTGATAAATGCATTAATGGCATTATAAAATATTTTATATCAGCTCCAGTTCTGGAGAGTTTATCTCCATGTAATATTGAGATGAACTTGTGATTCAGATTGAGAAGACTGAGATGGATCCATAGGCCTCTACTAAATGGATCAAGGCCTGTATTTACAAACAATCTCAAAGTAAGAGCACTGATCTAGGATCGGATTCCTCTCTTACACTTATAAAAAGGTACGGTGCTTGAATATTCAAAATGGTACTCAAAGAACTTAAAGATAAATTAGTGCCTCTAAGAACCTCCCCATATAATCGAGTTCCTGGAAGAACACTTGAAATTCTACAAGCTCTTGCAGGAACCTCTATGTCACTGGGTTCCATCAAGCTTAAGCCAAGTTCCTTGGAAAACTGCTCTGTTCTAAAGGGTTCCTGGAGGCTCCCTAAATGGACCTGCTAGTGTGGCAAGCTGAGGAACCTCAAAGAGAGCCTTGAGTTTCAATTCATTTTAACAGTGTGACTTTATTGACAGGACCAGATCCTAGATCAGCACTTCTCCTTCGAGAAGGTTTTGTTAGGTGTGTTAACTTGCTCAGGTTAATCAAGGTTGGAAGTAACCTCTGCAGGATCAAGCTGAGCATTCCTGCTTTAAATATTCAAACCCAGAATCACCATTAGTGTCAAATTCATACTGACCCTTAACTTGTTCCGGCTTTTTTCCAGTCGTTGCTGAAAGGAAGCACACACAGAAAGAGAGAGTGTAAGTTCGTTCACTATTTTTGGGCGGAAAAATTGTGGAGATCATCTATGTGGGGAGAGAAAATGCACATAGGAGGAGTAGACAAATGTACATGGAGAAAGATTTACCATTACTCAGGCAGAAATGTCATGAAAAATTACTAACGGCTGTGCAACCCCAAAAATACGTCCCCAATGCAAATTCTTTTAAAGGTCGCATCCAGAAAAAGAGAGCGAGAAAAGCGAAGTGAGGAGATTAAGCATTCTGCAGGACCATGGAGCGGACTGAGGAAGAGAAAATGAAAGAGAGGTGAGAGAGAGAGTAAGTAAAAGAAGGAGAGTGGTATAGAACAGTGGACAGGGAGGAACAATGAGGATAGAGCGACAGAGCGAGAAAGAGGAGAGGACAGAGGAGAGAATAGGAGAGGGGGGGAGACGTGTGAGAAAAAGCAGAGGGGGACGGCGGTTGGGGACGGAGGGAGTGAAAGAAGGTCAGACGGAGAGAGGAAGGAGACTGACGAGGGCGGGAGTTTATGTCTGAGTGTCACGCTATCAGCAGGGGGCAGTTCGAGGGGCCATAACGAAGAGATAGAGGGGGAGAGAGCGAGAGAGAGAGAGAGAGAGAGAGAAAGAAAGGATGAATGAGAGATGAGTGTTGTATCAAAACTTTATAACTCCATTTTGTTAACGAACTCATTTATTTATTTATTTTTGTGGTAACACTTCATGAACGGACCAGCTGAACTTGTTACTTTAGAATACATTAAAATTAACAACATTTTTTCCTTCTTTTTAAAGCTGCAAAGATGAGAGGTTTTGTTACCACAGAGACGAATTGGCCCCTATAATAAGCATTTATCATGAGTATTTTGTCATAATTCTCATATAAAAATCAGCATTTTTGAAAGGTTTTCTGATGACAATGACAAAACATCTTAAATGTTCAGACAAAAATAAAATCACATTATATATTGCTTAATATCACATAATAGCATTATAACAGTGTTATAGTGTTAATTATTAGTAATTTTCCTAATACTGGAGCCAAATTCATGTAAGCTTTCCAAAGAAAATAACCTACAGAAAGTCTTATGAACAAAACCTGAGAGGGTTCACAAGAATGTTCTTAAAAAGGTAATTTGCAAACAAACAAACAAACAAACAAAACTACAAATCAATATTTTCTTACATAATTCTTAATCTCACTGTCCCATCAACCACAGAGTCTAATCTATTATAAATTATAGTTAAAAGACTTTACTTTCAAATGTGAGGCTATTGTAAAATTAAGAAAATATAACATCTTTATTTTAATTAAGAATGAAGGTTTCTGTTCAACAACACATTATGAACCACTTTCAAATGTATTTTTTTGGATGATGTATGTTGATTGGGGTGGGCTTTACACATACAAGAAATATCAATGATTCATTATAATTAATACCATCTTTATTGGAATTTTATTGAAAATGGATTTTCCAATATAAGTCAGCTGTTTTTCTTTTTGAAAACTCTTTACGCCCAAAATTAATATCACATAATAACATTATAGCAGTATTATAGTATTAATTATTAGTATTTTTTGTTTCTGTCGCTGAGTTCATGAAAGCTTTCTAAAAAAAAAGGTAGCTTATGAACTGTTTTAGGCCAAAAACCGAGAAGGTTCATAAGAAATTTCTTAAACGTAATTTGCAAACAAATCATTCTTAATCTCACTGTCTCATCAACCAGCTGTTTTTCTTTTTAATACATCTTTATACCCACAATTATTACAAATATTCCGAATGGAAGACTATGAATGTATGAAGGGCTTATTTTATAGATTTAGGAGAAAAATCTATGTTGACCCTGTTTAAAAGGGTCTCTGGTTCACTGAATGCAAAATAACTATGGCTGATAATGTATTAGGCTGAGGCCAAATAATCTGACTTGGGAATTGATCTGCATACCATCAGTAACTTCTTAAAATTCTAGCTTTTCGGTTTTGGATATGCCCTCTTGTCACTGGGGTGGCCTCAAAGATCTCAGTACCCGTAGCCAGGGAACATAACTGCACCATAATCCATTGAAAATATATTTTCTAAGTTGTGTTGATTCCACACACCCCGTCTCGTCTCCAGGCTTTTTATTTTACTGTTCTGTTTTAAAACATTCGGTTATGAAAAGGTACAAATACGTACTTTTCACCTGGAAAAACTTATTTAAGGTTCACAATTGGACCTTAAGACCACTGTTGTACCTTTGAGGGAACATTTATATTGTTTGTACCTGACTGATGAACGAAAAATGTACCAGCACAGAACCTTTATTTCTAACAGTGTATTGGAAAATAAATAAAACAAAAAACTTTGTTTTATTTTGTTTTCCAATATGTTAAATCCAGCAAATAAACAGTCATTATGAATTAAAATGTGCTCACTGTCGAGGTTCCAACACGTGCCATTTGACCACAGGCGCACAAACCTTTGCACACAATTGTATATATAGCGCATTGTAAGGAAAACTAATACCCAAAAAAAGATTTTCCATTTTTTTTAACCATAATTTACATTTAAAAATCCAGAAGACGTGTAGGTTCACTGGTCATTTTGGACAGTAAACAAAATATCATTAATACATTTGTGTTATGGAATATAGATATAGATATTGAAAACTCTGGTTCCATTCACCACCACTGCAAAAAATCTGAGTTGGTAGGTTTCTCTTCCACTAACCATTATGAAGAAATTTGGAAAAATAGGTGGAATTCCCCTTCAAAGCTTTTTGTTGGTTTTCGTTTTCTTTCTCTGTCAGTGTAGAATTTGAGTATTCAGTATAACCATTGTTTTGCAAAATCTTTAATGTTTCTTGTACATTTTGCAGCGTGTAAACTAATAAATGCATATTTCAAAAAATGTGAAAGAGTGACTCAACGATTGCGATGTAGACGTTTTCTAACTGGGCTGAACGCGGACGGATTCTTCCAGAGATTGACCTTGCAAAGTACTGCGCGTTTGGAGAGCATGTCGATAACGAGCTTTAGCTGCGTGTGTCTGCTATTGATCTGTACCGCACGTTCCGGAAGATGCAGAGATTTTACAAATAGACAAAGAGAGAGAGAGAGAGAGAGAGAGAGAGAGAGAGAGAGATACACTCAGGAACATTCCACCAGGGTGTTTACAGCTCATCTGGAGAAGCAAATGAGTGTCAGTAAACATAAATAAATCTGGTCATTTTATATCCACACAAAGGTCAAAGGTCTGCAATCACTCTTCATATTAATAACTGCTGCTACTTTATTTAATACTGACTAACACATTGTGGATTAAAATGATAGACAAAAGAAGGTATTTTTTCTTTTTTTATCGAAACGTTAATTAGGCCTTCACCATTACATCCAGCTCATATGTAAATAGATGCATCAGTACAATTTGACCTTCAACAACCCACCCATAACAACCCCACCCTAGCAGTGCTTATTGCTGCTGTCGGAACAAAACCTTGTATCTCCATTTTTTACGTTATTTGGTTTTTGACATAATTTGAAAATACCTGTAGTCCTTCATATTATGTGGAAATTTTATGATGAATGGACCAACAGAAATGGCCCAAAATTACTTGGTAAAAATTGACTTACGTTAAAAGTAAAGTATGTTTTTTCCTTCTCCTGTACAGTTATCAATTTGGAGATAGGAGATTTTGTTTCTATAGCAGCGACATGCAATTTAAAAGGAAAAACAAAACAGAGCAAAACATTTGGTGTACAACTAAGTCAATCACATATAGCAGTACATTCAACCCAAAGTTGACATTACTGACAATATGAAATAACACATAACTTTTTAAGTATATCACTGCTGTCAGAACAAAACCTTGTATCTCAATTTTTTACATTATTCAGTTTTTGACATAATTTGAAAATACCTGTTGTCCTTTATTCTGTAAATTTCATGATGAATGGACCAAAAGAAATGGCTTAAAATGACTTGGAAAAACGTCTGGTTCCATTGACTTACATTAAAAGTAAAGTATGTTTTTTCCTTCTCCTGTAAAGTCACCACTTTGGAGATAGGAGGTTTTGTTCCGACAGCAGCGATATGAGACAATCCCTTCAGTATTTTGCAAATAATTTTTTTGTTCATATTAAACAGTATTTTCTCTGAAAGGAATGCAGGAGGAAGAATATACATATTTCTATCTAAATCTAAGCACCAGAAGGCATCTGAAGATATTTTAATGATATATAATATACTGTAATTATAATTTATTTACACTAATTTCTTGAGAAGTTATTCGCCTGAGATTTGATCACTGATTTTCAAACTCAAGGTGGTTGTGCTTTTTTTTTTAACACTCTATACAAAGAATCACTTTCCACATTTATCCGCATTAAAACTAGTTTGTATTATTGAAAACAGAACTTTGTAGCGTCCTTCATTTGACTTGTGTTAACTTCTATTGTTTGTACGCAGGTCTCCCCATACGTACCTTAATTTTCAAACAATTCATTTACAGTCGCAAAGCCCATGAAAGCAATTAATCTGATTGCTCTTTCATGTTGAAATGAAATGGAAAAGGCGAGTCGCAGAAACAACAAAAAAAAGGTGGTGCGAGTTATCAGGCCATTTTCTGAATTACTCTTACACAACGAGTACGTTAAAAGCTGCTCAAACAGAAGCAAAGCTCTTGCAGCAAACATAGGGAGAAAAACAAGGCAAGGAGGGACGATAAATACAGATTCAAAGGGACGTTCATTTTGGGTGAAGTGAGGCTGTAAAAAAATAAATGAAAAAATGACGAGACGTAACACGAAAGCAAACTTAATTTAAAACCCTTTTCCAAAGACCAAACTGAGAATAAAAATACTAATCTTACATACATTCTGCATTTTGAGAGAGGCAGCAAACGCAGTGCTCACCCGCTTTCCTACCAGAGATAAAGCTGCGTCAATATTTCTCCTATTTAAAAATAAAACGTGTTCAAAAATCCAATATATCATTACGTTAAATGTC